ATGGACAAACGCAAATGCGTATATACCACTAAACGCTTCAGACGTATCACGCGATCTTTCAAATCCACGTTTGTTTGCGTATGTATGGCGTCCTCCCGTTATCCATTCCCGCTGCTCTGCACCTCCCTTGTATTATCCGTCGATCAACCATGCGTTCCGCTCTTCCCGTGCCGTGTTAAAAACACACTTTCTTCTGTGTTCCCCTGTCGGTCGTGTCTGTCTGTCTGCCCCCCCCCCCCCCCCCCGTTACGCAAACGCCTTGACGGGGACGAAATAATACTATCTAATCAGGTTCTGGAGGCGTACAATCTTCGTTGCGCCGTGACGGAGAGCGAGTGCGCTAACCTCCACCTGGACGCGTGCCGCTCGCGTTTCCCCAGTGGAATGTGCACGCAGTACGAGATCCTAGAAATCTGTGCCGAAGAGGTGTGTGTGTGTATTGTCAGAGATGATGTGGCGCGCAGCTTCCTGATTGGTCGAAAATAATCCTACAGCGGTGTTTTTTTTTCAGGGATGATCGAAGATCTTTTGGGTGGCGGGAAAGGTGGATGGCAACGCAGTTATCTGATTGGTCTAATAACCATGCAGCGAAATATTTTGAGAGACGATCGAAGAGTGCTTGGGTGGCGGTGGGTGTTGTCCACGGTCAATCGGTCAGGCCGACAAGGTTTTTTCAACCCCAATTGCTTGTTTTTTCGATGGAGGCATGCATAAGTACACGTGAGGCTCAACTTCTTTTGCACCGAGTGTTCCTTACATCGCGGGCCCGGTTCTGTTGTGCGTCGAATCTGATGATGTAACAGGATTGCGGCATGATCCGTGACTACGACAACCCGACGGTAAGACTCCCGGAGAGCGTGGCTGATGGCGAGAACCTCAACCCAACCGACGAGGACGTGATCGAGACGGTGAGAGAGAGAGAGAGAGGGAGCGACGGAGGGGCCAGAGGGTGAAGCACACTGCTGCTTGCTGTTTCAGGCTTCAGCGATCTTGGTTGTTGTTGTTGTTGTTATTGTTGTTGTTGCTGTCATATCTTGGCTTGAGCAGGGCAATCTGCTTAATGACTGGTGTAGGACGATGTTGTTTGCGCCATCACGGTGTTGCAGTTGAGTGGGTGGTAAGACAAGTTCTCCCACCACCCCTGTGAGGCGCACTTGATGAGTACTCTTGTTGTTGTTGCTGTTATTGTTTGCGGTGTTGTTCGGTGTGGCCGTTGTTTCTCCGGTGGCCGCGGTCTCAATTTCGTCTTGCCTCCCTTCGCCGCTTGTCCTTTCTCTCGCGCTGCATCTCTTTCGCTACCGCTTGTGCTGGTACCACTGAACTGCCCTTGGTGATGGTGATGGTGGTGGTTTCGTGAACCGTGGCGTATTTCGCGGCCATGCACGTATTCACGTTTGGGTCCGAAACACACGAACGAACACATCACCATCCCTCCTTGACAACGACGACGTTGCGAAAAAAAAAAACGCTTGGCCGAAACCGAACCGGAAACAGATGTGCTACTCCGTCCTGCTCAACACCCCTCTGCGCGACCTGTACGAAGAGGCTAGCCAGGTCGGCTCCAACGCAGTGTGAGTGGTCGGCTGATTGAGTGAGTGCGGTGATGGCTCTCCGTTGTGCCGCTTCAATCTTATCTGTTGCTCGTGCTGCTGTTGGCGGCGCAGGTTTTTATGACGTTGCTTATCTCCAAGCAGGCCTTAACCCTTCATTCGCATGAATCACTGGAGACACGGACAGAGCCAATCGGGCGTTTGTTGCCAGTTGCTGTTTTCAAAAGACTGCCGAACATCCGTTGTGAGGAACGTTGGTGTCTGTTTGCGAAAGGGTCAAAACAGCAGAATGGCATCATGTTGTGTGGAAGCCTTGGGACACGCAAAAAGGCCAAGGGGTCCGCGTGCCTCTGTTGTGGCAGATGAAAGAAAGAGGCATCGGAAACGTTTACTTTCATCCTTGCTAATTAATTGATAACTTAATTTGTTTATTTTTCTCGGACGCACGCCTACCGCTGTGACACTGCGGGTGGGTGCTGGCGGGCGGCGGCGGTGGTGGAGGTGCCGTGTGCTAAGACTTGCTCTGAGTCCCACCCTGCATGTTTTTTCTTTTTCCAGTTGAAGCTCTTGTTCCGTTTTTGCCGCCGCTGGCCACGCGTCACAACCTCACGCCCCTTCTCTTTTTTGCCGCCGTTTTTTTTTTGTTTCAATGTCATCTTGAAACCCCCTTGTCTGTCCAGGTACTTCGGCGCGTGGACCGGAGTATTCCGGTATTTCCCAGGCATCGCTCAGGAATCCTGCGGAACATGTAAGAAGGCCTTCTCTTCTTGTTCTACTATTTTTGGCGGAGGTGGCGGGGGGAGTGTCGTGCTCGTGATGACCGGCCTGCTGTACGTAGGGTGTAGTCTTTAGACTGTGAATATGTACGCGTCTTAATTTATCCTTAGATTCAGTTAACTTGGTCGTCCGTTTTTTTCTGTGTGATGGCGTGTGCACAGACGACCGTACGTCCTTCGCCGCAACGAGGCCATGTCGATGTGGTCATCTTCATCATCGTTCATTTTTTTTTCTTCTTTTTTCGTGTCGACGGCTGTCTGCAGACGACCCTCGGATCCGGCCTTGGTACGTGGCGGCCTCGAGCGGCCCCAAGGACGTCGTGATCGTGCTGGACGTTTCTGGGAGCATGTCGCAGTACGGGCGGCTGGACCTCGCAAAGGAGGCCGCGGAGACCGTCATCAACACCCTGTGAGAAGACGCCACCTGCTGCTGTTTACCCTATTTATTCTTCCGTGGTAGGCAGCTTCTGCCATATGGTTGTACCGTACCGTACCGTGACGTACCGTACCGGAGCTGGGTGTATACTGTATCTGTCCCTCCTCTTGTTCATACACCTGTTGTACCCTCTCCTGATGTAAGTCTTGACAAGTTTTCCTCTTTTGTTGTCTCTTGCCTGTTTTTTTTTTCTTCCTGTTTGTCGTTACCGTTGCCCTGTCTTGTGCTCTAGCGGGGCGGACTCTTTCGTGAACGTGGTGACCTTCTCCGAAACCGCGAGGGTACTTCTCACCAACTCCACCACCCTCGTCCGGGCCACCGAGGACAACCTGGGCGAACTCGTCAGCCTCGTGCAGAACCTCGAGGTACCGCAGTGCTCCTCGTCGTCGTCGTCGTTGTTTCGTTGTTGCTGTTTGTAGCTGGTGTTGTTGTTGATGTTTGTGGCTGGTGTTGTTGTTGCTGTTTGTAGCAGTTGTTGTTGTTGATGTTTGTGGCTGGTGTTGTTGTTGATGTTTGTGGCTGTTGTTGTTGTTGTTGTTGTTGTTGTTGTTGTTGTTGTTCTCGTGTTGTGGCGTCGCCGTCGTCATCGTCGTTGTTTCTTTTGTTGTGGTTGGTACTCCTGTTGCTACAGCTGCTGCGGATATCTACCCCCCCCCGCATTTTCCAAATCTTTTCTCGTTTCTTTCGATGAAAGTGAAGAGGGAGGCAACTTAATTTGCCACCATATGCCGCTGTTGTAATATTGTATGGTACTTATTTGCTTAGATGTAGCAAGTGTAATCTGATGCATGATATTGCCCGTTTCTTGCCTTAAACGGGCGGCGCGTACTGACCACCTCCACACACCCCGTATCCATGTACACGCGGCAGTTCGATCTCGCGAACGTCGGGACGAACTTCGGTGCAGCGTTCGAGACAACCTTCGACATCCTGGAGGGTGAGTCGTCGTACAATCTATGCCGCCTTTTTTTTTGCGTTTGTCTTTGTTTTCTCGTCTTCCGAGTTGCAAGGCGAAAGTTGAGTGACCGGGTACGATCTGCGAGAGCGCTTGTAGTTGCGATTTTGCAATCGCAGTAGTGTTGGGAACGTCGCGGTTTGCCGCAAGCAATTCCCGAGAGAGTTTGACGCTATGGGGGCAAATTGTCTAGAAGGTCCTATGTACCATGTGGAAGACGTGCACGATGTTGGGAGTAGTTCGTCGTACTTTCGTTTTTGGCGGTGGTCTGCCGCTCACAAACATTTTTTTTTTTTTCGTCGCTTGTTTTTTTCCTGAAAGCTCTTCCCCTAGTAGATTTATTCTGCGTTCTTTTTTCGTTCGGCGTGTTTCTTTTTTTCGCGTCGGCAAGCTCGGAAGTAGACTGTGTTCTCGTGGCTAGTGTACGTTTGTCAGAAAAGGTGATTTTGTTTTTTTGTCCCGACGAGTGCAATGGCGTCGTCGCGTTTGTTTGTGGTTTGCCAGGTGGTTAGCGCCTTTTCCAGCCCCACCCTCGCCTTACTTTACACGCACACGCCTCTTGTGCCCTTTTTGATCAACGACATGCCACGTACGAATGGCGGCGGCGGCGGCGGCGTAATTCGGCGACGGCGACACAGCTTCTCGGACTTCGGAGGAGACGTCTTCGAACTGCCAGACGGCGATCGTCTTCCTTACCGATGGCAACACCAACGTCGGCCTCTCCACGGACGAGGTGTGTGCACGTTGTTCACTGATCACTATTGGGCGCTGCCTGCTGTAGTGTGGCCTTTGGATTGGCATCGAACGCGCTAGCCGGCTGACCGATGAAAAAATGAAGTCAGTCGTTCTTGCAAAGAGCGGGATGAGAAAACCCGAACACGCTTCCAAAATGCGGTCCTACGCTCTGTAGTGCATGCGCGTGCTACAGTAGGTGTCGTAGAGGGTGTGTTTTGGTTGTCAATGGCGAAATGCCAGCTGCGGGCATGGCTCCATGCCCCAAGGAAGTGTGTTCGTGCGCGTTTTGGGTGTCGTTAGAGCATGAGCGGCGACGGGGGGGGGGTTCGTGCGCCCGCTTGCGCTCAGACACATTTAGGGTCGGGGGGTAGAAGCGCTTAGAAACGTTTTGTTTTGGTACAGTTTGGCCATGCGTGTGGGACTCAGCGTCGCAGAGATTAACGTGGTGCCTGGGAGGAGGGGGGGGGGGGATTTAGTGCCTACCAATAGTTGGAAACACGTTGTTGTTTACATGAAGGATGTACTTGAAATATTTGGGCAATATAATGCCCCAAGCCAACACCACGTTTGCGCTAACCGCCTATTCCTACAAAGCAATAGCAGCACGTTCGCTGCCTCTCGATGTTGGTGTTGTCGTGTAGCCGGCGCTGCGCTAGCCGGCTCGGTGCTCCGACTCCCGACGGTCGTAAGTGTATTTGCCCATGTCTTGCGTCTGCCATCGCTTTGCTGCTCCGCTGCGGCCCTATGGCGTCCTTTCCGCTGCACATCGCTATAATACGCAATGGCGATAAAACGGCAACAACGGTGTTTGTGTGTGGTGCGTTCTGTTCGACAAGACGATCGCTTTGATTTCGGAGAGAAACGCGGACATGCAGGCGGAGGTGTTCACCTACAGCCTCGGGACCCTGGCAGATAAGGCGAGTGTCGAGAGAGCGAGGACTGGTCGCCTGCACGCTTAGAAAAGGCGCACGAATCGAGCAGGAAATTTATTGCCGCCCGTGTTGCAGAATGAGGCGAGCAACGCCGGTTGCGAGACGATGCGATGCTTTGGAAGACAGCCTCCCGCTCGTCGTGACCAAGACCTTTACAGTTGTTGGTGATGTCGTGACTGTTTTTCGTTGCTGTTGTAGTGGTCATGCCATTTATGGTATTGGTGGTGTTGACTTCCACCCAACCACCCCGTGGCATTCATGCTGTTGCCCATGTTCTTCCTAGGAATACAAGTTTCACTGCTGTCCGCGAAGCGGGTCGCATAGTCATCGCATGCCCTGAACACCCTTGCTGCTGTTGTTGTTGGTGTTGGTGGTGGTGATCTTTTTTTTTTTTTTCTGCGAAAACGAACGGCACAGGTGACTTCGAAGCAGATCGCGTGCGACACCGGGGGCATCTACGAGCACGTGGAGGATGGGGGAGACCTCTCTCAGGCGATGGCGTTCTTCTATAGGTAGGGTCGTCTGTTGTCGTTGCAGCCGCACCCCCTCCCCCTCCCCCCAACAGGCGATGTTAGAAAACAGGAAATTGAGCATGCACTTGTTGTTTTGTAATTTTTTGTCATGTGCGGACGTTTCTTCGTGGAACGACAGAGTGAAGAGGGTGGTTGCTTTTTTCAACTGCGGAATCGGCAATGGTGTCATTCCTCGCCAGCAATGAAAAGTGCCTCTTGAACACCGTTTTGCGACGTCTCTCGTAGTACGTGTTTGCGCCCTTGTCTGCCTGTGACTTTCGTGTCACCACAATTCACTGTCTGTCGCGATTTGCTTTAAAAAAAGTATCCATACAAACATAGATATACTACACAACCCAACCCGTTCGACATGGGGTGTGCTGAAATATTTTCAGTAAGCGGACTCCATTGGTGTCGGTACAGGTGTTGGCATTTTTGTTGCGAAACACGACAACCGCTGTCTCTACAGCGGAATGGCGGGACGGTGGGTTGATCACACACAAAGCGTGACTCTCTGGCTGTTGTTGTTGCTATCGGTTCGATATCTCTCACCCCTCTTTATCGCCTTCTTCCTCCGCAGCCCTTGCGTGTGGTAGTACTCGATACGGAGCAGCTGTTTTACGAGTACACTTTCTGGTGAACAAACATGGCGATTTGAAGGTGTTCGCCGGCACTTTTTTTCTCTCTTGTACCGATAGAGCCGCGTGTATGTGTTACGGTGTATGCTCATGTGTTCTCGTTTGTGTTTCTTGTGTGCAGGTACTACTCGATTGGTCTGGGAGACAACGAGGACTTTGTCGCGGTGACAGACATATGTGAGAGGCCGGGCATCGTACCACACGCGTGATCGAGTCCTCCCCTCTTTCTGAAGTTGTTGTTCGATTTTCTCTTTCCAATGACGTGTTGTTGTTGTTGTGTTTTCATCGTATTCGTTTGCAACGTGCGAATGGAAAGTTGTACCGCGGAAATGGCAGACAACGGTAGTGGTTTATGGGCGGAGTCCGCCAGAATCGACAGCAGGCGACGCCGCACTCTCGCAGCACCTCTAAAACGCCAGGAGACGAAACCCTTCCTTGTAAGAGGCAACCGATTGTAGTACTTTTTGAGGAGACACTGGAAAACGAAACGCGGCGTGTCCGAAAAGAAACCTGCTGTCTCGCCAGCTACAGTAGCTTGGCGAATTGGTGACGGCAGGGACGGAGCCCGTAGTATTGCGTGTACCACGGCTCTGAATGCCTCTCCGCGAAACCTTTGATAGTGCAACAACGATGAGCAAACGCATCATTGAGCCTACAAGTAGGTGTCCTCTGGGCGCTCTTCTTGCAGGTTCTATTGTGTCCCCCGGCATCACCCCCCCGCACACCCCCCCCAATCGTCTAACGACTACGGCATGCGACTATGAGTACCCCCCTCCCCCCCCCCCCCCCCCCCCTCTTCTTGAGGGAAAGAGAGGGCTTGCCCCCGGGGGGGGCGGGGGGGTCCGGCACGGGGGCCCCCTTTTAAAAAAAAAACACCCCACCCCCCACCCTTCCGGCTTCTCCGGGGGGGGGGGGAGGGGCCTCCAAAACAAAGT